GTATGTTATGACAATTGAGCTTGATGTCCCCTGCGACTATGGTCCCAAGCCCGCAGGATCAACTACTCGGTCCCTCTGGGTAGCTGAAATTAGCCAACATTTTAACTACTTTTTATAAGCTCATACTTTTCTATGAACGTCCTAAAGTCTTAAGATATGAAAACAAAAGTATGCAAAATAGATCTGTACTTTAACCAAGGCCACAGCAAGATTCTTCTTCTTTGATACATAGCCTAATGTCCAACATTCCCTGTGATAGCTTCTGTGCTATGTTAAAGTGTTTTATGATATAAAAAGTGGTGTGTTGAGATAACCTTACAACTGAAAGTTTAATACTTGAGAATTCATTTAGAACGTCATAGTCCTGTTTTCCAGCCAGTATTTAAAGTCCTCTAAACAAGATTCCAGGAGCTCTTGTAGCGTAGTGCCTAAGGCACTGGACTGCTAACCAGAAGGCTGGCATTTCAAACCCACCAGTTACTCCTCGGAAGGAATGTTGGGCAATCTACTTCCATAGTGATACCACCTCGGAAACCCAAGGAGGGCTCACTATGAGTCGTGTCTGACTCGACAGCACATAACAACAATAACAAACAAGATTCTGGGGAGTCGTGGTGGCACAGTGGTTAAGCACTCAGCTGACCAAAAGTTCAGCAGTTCGAACCCACCAGCTGTGCCACAGGAGAAAGATGAGGCAGTCTGTGTCCATGAAGATTACAGCTTTGGACCCTTTTATACTGATCAGCCATGAGACATCAGAGGCGCAACATTCACACAGAGGGAAAGCTGGACAGACAGGAATGCATAGATAAGACGGGCACAGGGAAAGGGTAGTCACAGGGAGGAGGGGGAGGGGAGTTTTTTATGGTGGGGGATTGTAAGCAGGGCTGTGAAATTAAATGTACATGAACTGTTGAGAGTAAAATAAATCTGCTTTGTAAATTTGCACCCAAAATCACACACACACACACACATACACACAAAGATTACAGCCTTAGAAACTATAGAGCAGTTCTATTGTCCTGTAGGGTTGCTATGAGTTGGAATCGACTTGACGACAACAGGTTTTTTTAAACAGGAATCTACCACTCATACCCTTCAACCGCAAGGGTTGAACTTCATGGCTCAACTTTCAGCCAAATGATAGGCCTGTTAGGGAGACAATAATACCAGGGAGGTATGCACACCTTAGAACAATCAACCATAGGAGATCAAAAGGGCCACATTTACCCAGGGATAAAGCTCAGAAGGCAGGAAGGGGTAGGAAACAAGGACAAAGGGAAACAGTAAACACAGGGAGGAAATGGGAAAAGTACCATTACACTGTTGGGATTGCAATCATTGTCACAAAACAAAATGTGTATGAATTGTTGAATGGAAAATCAATTTACTCTGTAAACCTACTCAAACCACACTTTAAAAAGAAAGAATCCATCACTTCTCTGTCAGATGTCATACTGTGGTGGCTTGCATATTGCTGTGATGCTGGAAGCTATGTTACCGGTATTTCAAATACCAGGAAGGTTATCCATGGCGGACAGGTTTTAACAAAGCTTCCAGACTAAGAGAGACTATGAAGAAATACCTGGTGATACACTTGCCCCCAAAATTAGCCAGTAAAAACCTTATAATACAGTTCCAGAAGACAGGCTTGCCCTTCATATTGGAGGGCACTCAAAATATGACTGGGGAAGAGATGCCTTCTCAAAGTAGAGTTCATGTGGATGGAGTAAGGCTTCCAGGACCTTCATTTGTTGATGTGGCATGACTAAAAATGAGAAGAAATAGCTGCAAACTGGAATGTGGAATGTAGAAGTATGACTCAAGGAAAACTGGAAGTTGTCAAAAATGAAATGCTTCAGGATTGATAACCTCAGCATTAGTGAGCTGAACTGGTCTGGTATTGGACATTTTGAATCAGACAATCATATGGTCTACTATGCTGAGAATGATAAGTTGAAGAGAAATGGAGCTATATTTATCATCAAAAAGAACATTTCAAGAGATCTATTCTGAAATAAAATGCTTTCAGTGATAAGATAATATCCACATGTCTACAAGAAACCAGTCAATATGATGATTATTCAAATTTACACACCAATCACTAATGCCAATGATGGAAAAACTGATTTTTTTTTTTTTAACCAACTTCTGTAGTCTGAAATTGATCAAACATACAATCAAGATACACTGATAACTACTGGTGACTGGAATGCAAAAAATGGAAACAAAGAAGGACCAGTTGTCGGAAAATATGGCATTGGTGACAGAAACAAGCCAGAGATTACATGACAGAATTTTGCAAGACCACTGACTTATTCACTGGAAATACCTTTTTATAACAATATAAATGAGGACTATACATGTAGACCTTGCTGGACAGAATACACAAGAATCAAATCAACTATATCTGTGGAAAGAGAGCAAAGAGAAACTGAATATCATCAGTCAGAACAAGGTCAGGGGCTGCCTGCAGAACAGGCCATCTATTGCTCCTATGAAAGTTCAAGTTGAAGTTGAAGAAAATTAAAACAAGTCCATGAGAACCAAAGTACAATCTTGTGTATATTCCAAGTTTAGAGACGATCTCAAGAATAGATCTGATGCACTGAACACAAACTGCTGAAGACCAGATGAATTGGGAGATGACATAGAGGACATCATATATGAAGAAAGCAAAAGGTCATTAAAAAGAAAAGACTAAAATGGGTGTGGAAATTAAATTTGTATGGCAACTTGGCTGGGCCTCATTGAGTGGCTGGGTAGCTGGTGGTAGTTATTGACCATGATGAGACTGGCAACCAACTCCATGGTGGGATCCACCACAAGCAGCTGAGTAGCTGCCTTTGGGATGTGGTCTGCTTCCTGTATAGAAGGAGAAGCCTTGGGGATAGTCTCTAGCTTATGGCACGCATGGGCCCTGCATGTAGCTGTGTCACTGTTCAGCAGCCTGCCATACTCTGCCGACCATGGGATTTACAATGAACTTGAATTAATGGCCTGCCGTGTGGTTTGGTAACATCAGTACTGTGCCATTTTCTTTGTCGACCTTGGGCTTGTTAGCCTCGGCAGCCGGTAGCTGCCTGAGTGAAGAGATGCCTCTAGTGTCAGTGGGCTGGGAACAAGAGGCAGAACTGAAACCCAAGGTCGAGGGGCTTTCATCCAGGCCCTAGAGCCTGGCACTTTGAACTCAGACTTAAAGCCTCTAAACTGTAAGAGAACGAACTCCTGTTTGTTAAAGCCATCCCATTTGTGGTATGTTCCTGTCAGAGTGGCACTAGGTAACCAGAACAATGGCTATTAGAAGAGAGTCTGAAATTTGCTCTGGAATGTACAGTAGCTAAAGTGAATGGAAAAGGTGATGACATAGAAAAACTAAACAGAAGATTTCAAAGGGCAGCTCAAGAAGACAAAGTAAAGTATTATAATGAAATGGGCAAAGAACTAGAGTTAGAAAGCCAAAAGAGAAGAATATGCTCAGCATTTCCCAAGCTGAAAGAGCTGAAGAAAAAAATCCAAGCCTCGACTGGCAATACTGAACAATTCTATGGGCAAAATACTGAATGATGCAGGAAGTATCAAAAGAAGATGGAAAGACTACACAGAGTCACTGCACCAAAAATAAACTTCTCACTGTTCAACCATTTCAGGACGTGCACATGATCAAGAACCAATGGTATCGAAGGAAGAAATCAAAGCTGCACTGAAGGCATTGGTGAAAAATAAGTATCCAGTGATTGACAGAATACCAATTGAGGTGTTTCAGCAAATGGATGCAACACTGGAAGTGCTCACTCATTTATGCCTGGCCCATTGACTGGAAAAGATCCGTATGTATGTCTATTCCAAAGAAAAGTGATCCAACAGAATGTGGAAATTATTGAACAGTACTGTTAATATCACACCCAAGCAAAATTTTGCTGATAACTAAAAATCGGTTCCAGTAGTACATTGAGCACTAACTGCTAGAAATTCAAGCCAGAGTCAGGATGTGGAAAGAGGAATATTTTTGCTGATGTCAGATGGATCTTGGCTGAAAGCAAAAAATACCAGAAACAGGTTTACCTGTTTTATGACTATGCAAAGGCATTTGACTGTGTGGATCATAACAAATTATAGGTAACACTATGAACAATGGGAATTCTGGAACACTTAATTGTGCTCATGAGGAACTTTTACATAAACCAAGAAGCTGTTGTCTGAACAGAACAAGGGGATACTGCATGGCTTAAAATCAGGAAAGGTGTGTATCAGGGTGTATTCTTTTACCATATTTATTCAATCTATATACTGAGCAAATAATTTGAGAAGCTGCACTATATGAAGAACACATCAGAATTGGAAGAAGACTCACTAACAACCTGCAATATGCAGACTACACAGCCTTGCATGCTGAAAGTAAAGATAACTTGAAGCACTTACTGATGAAAATCAAAGACTACAGCCTTCAGTGTGGATTACATCTCAATATAAATAAAACTAAAATCCTCACAAGTGGAATAATAAGCAACATCATGATAAATTGAGAAAAGACTGAATTTGTCAAGGATTTCATTTTACTTGGATTCACAATCAACACTCATGGAAGCAGCAGTCAAGAAATCAAAGAATGTATTGCATTGGGCAAATCTGCTACAAAAGACCTCTTTGAAATGTTAAAAAGCAGAGCTCTCACTTTTGAGGACTAAAGTACTCCTGACCAAAGCCACAGCATTTTCAATTGCTCTATATGCATGCAAAATCTGGACACTGAGTAAGGAAGACCCAGGGAGAATTGAAGCATTTAAATTATGGTGTTGGCAAAGAATACTGAATATACATTGATAGCCTGAAGACGAAACAAATCTGTCTTGGAAGAAATACAGTCAGAGTGCTCCTTAGAAGTGAGGATGGTGAGACTTTGTCTCACTTACTTTGGACGTGTTATGAGAAGGGACCCATCACTGAAGAAGGACATCATGTTTGGTAAAGTAGAGGTCAGTGTAAAAGAAGAAGACCCTCAATGAGAGGGATTGACCCAGTGGCTGCAAAAATGGGCTCAAACATAGCAATGATTTTGACGATGCCCAGGATTGGGAAGCTTTTCGTTCTGTTGTACATGGGTTGCTATGAGTCAGAAACCACTTGGCAGCACTTAACAACACACAACAAAGCAAAAACACTCATTCTCAATAGTATTGGTGACCCAATGAAGTGCACACATAAAACCTACATAAAATACTTATTTTGCTGTTAACAAGAGAATTGCAAACAAAATATAAATTTAATTACCACTAAAATATCAATTATCATCATTTATTGTCTGTAAAATTGGAAAAATTATAAAATATTAATAATTATGAAGGTGTACTATAGGTTGTTGTTGTTGTTGTTGTTATGTGCCGTCGAGTCGGCCCCGACTCATAGCGACCACTACTTGGGTTTCCGAGGCAGTATCACTACGGAAGTAGGATTGCCCAACCTTCCTTCCGAGGAGTGGCTGGTGGTTTTGAACCGCCAGCCATCTGATTAGCAGGCAAGTGACTTAGCCACTATGCTACCAGAGCATAAACTCTCTAGAAAACTATTCTTATAAAGCATAATTCTTGGCTTGAATCTGAGAGAAATACTGCCACACATATAGCAAAATATTAGCCTATGAAGTTAAATATATTTTGTTAAAGTTATGAAATCAATAACTTACTTAGATTCTAGCAGCTGAAGTATTTCTGGTGTATTAAGAAGTCCTTCAGATGCAAAAAACACATATGGAATCTGAATTTCCAGAAGAAAACCACTAAAGATATCCAGCAAGGTGTTGCCTAAATAAGAGAAGATTTATATTTTATTTTTTATCTGTCATCTTTTTTTTTTATTAAACATGAGAATGATAAGTGTATTTTCATGGAGTAGTATAAAATAGTACCTATTCATTATAAAACAAAACAAAAATGAGAATAAAGAAAGGTCTGAAGAAGAAAATAAAAATCAAGTTATCCTACCACACAGAAATAAAAGAGCTTAGTGTATACTTCCAGATGTTTTTCAATGTATCTACTTGACTATTCACACACATATACTCATTTAAGGGTGCTCTGGTGGCGTAGAGCCTAAGGCATTTGACTGCTAACCAGAAGGCTGGTGGTTCAAACCCATGAGCCACTCCTCGGAAGGAAGGTTGGGCAATCTACTTCTGTAGTGATACTGCCTCAGAAATCCAAGGAGGGGTCACTGTAAGTCTGATCCGATTCAACTGCAGTGTTTAGAATTATTGTTGTTATATGCCATTGAGTAGGACCCGACTCATAGCAACCCCCCTTGGGTTTCCGAGGCAGTATCACTAAGGAAGTAGATTGCTCCATCTTCCTTCCGAGGAGTGGCTGGTGGGTTTGAACAGCCAGCCTTCTGGTTAGCAGTCAAGTGCCTTATGCACTACGCTACCAGAGCTCCCAGAGTTATACTCATTTAAAGTTAAAAGGAGAAAAATGATTACACTCTACCTAAATGTTAAAACCTTCCTTATTCACCTAAGTATATGTTGGACATCTGCTGTGTAATAAATACTAATTTACATCACAATTTTAAATTATGCACAATAATCCATAGGGAAAGCATTTTAGAGATCAGTAGGACAAGAATAAATAACTCAACAGAAAAATGTGCAAATGAATAAATAGGCAATTTACAAAAGAATGGCTAAACAAAATCAATTCACATATGAAAAGATAGTCAAAGATAAACAAACTAATACAACTATAAAATGTTTTCTGACTATAACTGTCAAAAATTTCAAAGCTTAATAATATCTACTTGGAGTAAAGTATGGAGAAAAGGACCCTCTTTCAACTTGGTGCATACAGATAAACTGGTTCAGCATTTCTGGAAGATTATTTGGTAATATTCTTTCAATTTTAAAGTGTACATATATTTGACCTAACAATTCATTCTACTTCTTGGAATTTGTTCTTCTTAGAACAAGGACATACAGTGAAAAATTATAAATGCCCCAACTAGAAAATTGGTAGAATAAATTAATCTTTGGGAGGATGGAAGTAGCCTCTTAAATATAACTAGAATACTTCTTATCTATCTAAATTTATTTATTTTGTGGTTGTTGAGAATATGCACAGCAAAACATACACCAATTCAACAGTTTCTACATGTACCATTGATTGACACTGAGAATGTTCTTTGAGCTGTGTTAACCATTCTCATACTCCTTCTGAATTGTTCCTCCCCTTTTACATAAATTCACTGCCTCCTAAGGTTCCTCTGTGTTTTGCTGTTGTCAATTTTTGGGAGCTCTGGTGGTGTAGTGCCTAAAGCATTCAACTGCTAACCAGAAGGCTGGCGGTTCAAACCCACCAGCCACTCCTCAGAAGGAAGGTAGGGGAATCTACCTCCGTAGTAATATGGCCTCAGAAACCCAAGGAGGGGTTGCTATGAGTTGGGTCCAACTCAATGGCAGTGAGTTTGTTTTTTGGTTTGGTTGTCAATTTGATCCCATATAGATAGTTCTTAAAAGAACATAATGTTCAAGGCAGACTTTTTTTTTTTTTTTTTACTTGTTAAGATAAACTATGGGATAATAATAAAACAATATTTATAGAATACTTATCTTTTATCCTTTATTTCCCCAATAATTTAATCAATTTAACATTCAATTCTAAATATCAGAGATTCTGTAGTAGTTACGGTTGTGTGTCAACTTGGCTGGTCATGGTTTTGAGTGGCTGGGCAGCTAGCTGGATATAGTTATTCTCCTTGGTGAGATTGGTAATTAACTCCATGGTGGAATCTACTGGAGCAGCTGAATAGCTGCTACAAAGATGTGGACTACTTCCAGTATATAAAAAACAACTTTGAGGAAGATCTCTAGCTTTATGGCACACTTGGACCCTGCATGTAGCTGAGTCTTCATATAGAAGCCTGCCATGTTCTGCCTATCTTGGGACTGTTTCTGGACTTGAGTCAATGGGCTGCCATCTGGTTTGGTAATACTGGGACTGTGCCTTTTCACCTGTTGACCTTGAGTTTGTCAGCCTCAGCAGCCAGAAGCTGCCTGAATGAAGAGATGCCTCTAGCTTCAGTGGGCCAGGAGCAAGAGGCAGAGCAGGAGCCCAAAGTCAAGGAACTTTCACCCAACCTCTATGGCCCAACACTTTGACTCAGACTTCCAGCCTCCAAAATTGTAAGAGAATAAACTCCTGTTTGTTAAAGCCATTCCACCTGTGGCATTTCTGAGAGTGGCACAAAGTAACCAAAACAGATTCCAAAGGAATAACTATGGTGACTGATTTTCAGAACTGAGTTGTAATGTCTTTGAATCTACTCAGACTTCCCATTCATAGATGAAGTGGATAGAAAGTAACTTATGGAAAGTACTGAAGGAGAGATGAACTGGAACTAAAAATGTATGAGCTTGTTTATTTAATGGAGCTGAGAATTTGCAACTTTAGTCATGTGAAGTGCTTCTGAGAAATACAAAGAAGCTAAATGACACATGAGGTGGTTTTAGACTCTTCTATGTATTTTTGGATAATTTTAAATGTGTATTAGAATATTTCTGAATCAGTCAACATAGCTTTTTCTGAAAAACACTAAAAATGCTATTGAATAAAAGTATCAGATTAAGGTTGCGTATAACTGTAATAAAATTGTGCTATTACAGGTAAAACTTAGAAATTACATCAAGGGATGAAGGCAAATGTAATTGGTAATTCTCATGTTCCAACTGAGGAAAGTGATGTAGGAGAAGTTAAAGGGCTTGCCTAAGCTCACACAGTTCAAGGTGAGGCTAAAGATTGGACTCAAGTCTTCTAATGCCATAGCTTAAATTCTTTTCATAGACAATGAACAGAAAACAGAACATTTTTATTATAATGGAGCAAAAAAGGGATGTGGTTCACATCCTTACTCTTTAAAACTGTATCTGGAAGAATCGTTTTAAAGGCCATATAAGGAATATTCAACTTTTCACAGTGCTTAGTCCAACAGGAGTTTTCTGCATAATTGTATTCCATCACCAATGAGAAACTACTCCAGGGGAAATCTGCTCCAATAGATTGGTTATGCACAACTACACAGGAACAAGTACTGAAAAGAAAGCCAAGAAAATGGGATTACCTTTGTGTAGTTATTTACTTGGAAGGATAAATGAAGACTTTCTGGCTACTCTACTCTTTGCTCATCAAGACGACTCATCTCGGAAAGGCACTGGGGTATTTTCTATTGATTTGCTCTCCAATTGTGTTCATCTCGTTTATTTTTCTTTTTGACGATCACACTTTTGTCTTTTTTTAAAGTCATGATATAAAACATTGTGTGGACTATTTGACATCCTCAAATGCAAGGGATCCTAATTTTATTACTTTAGTACTATTAACAAAAATCTGATTTCCTTTTAAATGTAAAGTTTTAATCTTCAAGACTCTAGATAAGAGAGTATTATCTGACAACTTTAAAATGGGTTGTTTTTTCTCAATGGGCTTCATAACTGAACAATAAGAACAAAGATGGACATTTAAATTTCATTAGTCTAACTTTCTCATCTTCAAACCTCATGTTATATAGCACCAACAGTAATTAAAATTCTCCATTCTTTCTTTCTGTCTATATGAGTATAAAAGTTAAAAAGTATTTATGTCCAACTTTTATGGGCTTCTATTTTATTTTTTTTTTTACATCTTTTCTTTTTATTATTTTGGATCCTAACATAAGAAAAAGTAATTTATACATAAAATGAAACAAACTAGAGACATTCTCAGATAAGTTAACACTAAGTTTATCATTAGCAGGCTCTCACTGAAAGAATTTCTGTAGTTCAGGAAGAGAACTCAGATGAAAGGAAGGACATCTAAAAAACACTGCTAAGCAAAGAAACTGGTGAAAATAAGAGTAAGTAAGCAGAGGCAATTCATGTACTAATTAATATTAACAGTAATGATGATAATTTGGGCATACAAAAACAAGATGGAACTAGAATTCTCATCAAAAATAATATACACAGGCAATGATCTCACGTAAAGTCTTCTATATAAAGCATTTTTTAAAGAAGTTTGCTCCTCATAGGTGATGAAATACATTTTTACCCATTTAAAACACTTTCAGATTCCAGGATATCTTTTCTTTCATTTGAATGAAAGACAGTCAATGTTAAACCTGTTGGGAAAAAAGAATACGAAAGAGTTTGTTTCAGTGTTCTTATTCATATATACTTTTTTGGTGTGTCATATATTTCAATACCATAAAAATGAATTAAAGATTTATGCAAGCGGAAACTGCTCGTTCACAGATAAAGATACATTTATCTGGATAAAGATATATTTCTAAATCTAGGATATCAAAAAGTTCAAATCATAAGCAATATCTCTGGAGTACATGTGTGTGTGTACGGAGAATATGAAAATTCTTAATTTATTATGTAAAATAATATAATGAATCAAACTTAATTTTAAAGTAACCAAATTTAAACACTCGCCAATTTTGTGCAGGTAATTTATTTTGCTAAATATCGTGGGGGTTCTTACTCTTCAGCCAAAAATTTAAGTACATAACTAAATAACAAGAGACTGCATTTTAATTTGATAGGAGTGCTTTTTTCTTTTTTTCTCTCTTAATAAGAAGCAGAACACTTATTGGGCACTATCTGTTTCTTAAATTTACTCCTCTTTCTTATAGCTTAAATTTCTTATTTTACTTATTTTTAACAGAATATAATACATTTTTAAAAAGTCTTTATCTATATATACCATTTATTTTTGATAGACCTTAAGAATAGCTAATTCTAGTTCATTTATACTTTATTAGTATAGTTTATTTTTACTTTATTAGTGTAGTTTTGTCAATTGTAAAGTTGACAAGGATATTATATAAAAATGAAAAGTAATACTTAATAATTTCGTGTCTATTTTACATCACAGGTTCAAATCCTGACTCTCTTATTTATTATCTATAAGCTTTGGCATGGCACATCACCTTTATAAAGTTTAGTTTCTTTATTTGTAATTGATTTAATAAAATCTATTCATAGAGTTGCTATAATAGCCCACATTATTTAGCAACTAGTAGGCGTAGTGCCTAAGGCATCTGACTGCTAACCAGTAGGTTGGCGGTTCAAACTTACCAGCCACTCCATGGAAGGAAGATGGGGCAATCTACTTCTGTAAAGATTTACAGCCTCAGAAACCCAGTGGGGGTCGTTATGAGTTGGAATTGACTCAGTGGCAGTGGGTTTGGTTTTTGGTTTAGTAAATCAATAAAATGTGTTCAACTGTTAATAATAACAAATATACTATAGAATCACATGAGGTGGACTCAACTCCGTGGCAAGAATTTTTTTTTTTTTTTAATTGTGATTTGGGTGAAAGTTTACAGAGCAAATTCACTTTCCATATAGCACCTCACATTTTGCCTCATGACACTGACTATAATTTCCTACAATGCAACAGTTCCCCTCTCACTTCCTCCCCATAGTTACCTCTTTCCTGTGTCCTTCCCTCTATGCACTCCTGCCCCCTGAGCTGTCTCCCTGTGCATAAACAGACCTTCTTTCTCCCATGATTGTTCTCTCCAAAGAGTGTATCTACCTAATGTAAATGTTCAGCTCATATGCCTGCTTTTTGTTTGGCTGGAAGCCACAGGAGTGGGAGTGGGTTCAATTCCAGACCAGAAGGGCAGCTAGGGGCCATAGTCTCAGTGGTTCCATCAGGCTCTATCAGACCAGCAAACCTGGTCCCCCCCCTTTTTTTTTGTAATAATTTTGAGTTTTGTTCCACATTGTTCTCTCACTCTATCCAGGATCTCCTACACATATCCCCCTCTGAGTGGTTGTCAGTGGTGGCCGTGCACCATCTAATTCTTCTGGTCTCATAGTCATATAGGTTGAGGATCGCATGTTGTACCAGTCGCTTGGACTAATTCTTTCCATGAATCTTTGGTTTTCTTCATTCTTCTTTACTCTGGACGAGGAGAGACCCATTGTTGCATCTAGATGGCTGCTTGCAAGCTTTTAAGATCCCAGTCACTACTCATTCATGGCAATAATTTTATATATAAATACATTATAGTACATTTATATTGCAAATTTATAGTTCAGATTTATTTAAATACTGGTTATATCTGACTGAACTGTACAGTATTAAAGGGTGAATTTTATGGTATATTAATTATATCTTAATTAAAAACTTGATTAAATCAATACATTTGATATGTACAAGCATTTGTTATGAAATGAAACATAATTTAAAACTTCCTACCTTCTATTTTGTTAAGGATTTTAAGGAGTAAATGTTTTTCACCATTTGAGTCCATTCTTATTATAATCAGCACCTAGTCAAAAATAAGGATTTTGTATATATGAATATCTGAACGGTTGCTCTTTTTCATGGTTTAGCTACAATGACAAAATAACAAACTTAACACGTTACATGAAATCAGTGACAACAAGATTACAAAGTAAGAATTTGTGTTTTAAAAGATGTCAATGCTTAAACAACAAAGGAATAAATTCTGGTAAGATCAAGCAAATATTTTGGGGAAAATATTTTGGGGTAGGGACTTGTTAGCATTCCTCAACTATTCTCCTACAGATTAACACATAAATTGTCTTTGCCTGTATTTTCAGATTGTTAGGGTTAAATTCAATCCAGATATGTTTGAATAGTTTGGAGAAAATCAATGACTTGGTGCTTTATTTTCCTAATTATCATTGCTTTTTTTTTTTTGGTGTGGGGGAAAGTGGACAACAAGGCAGTTCCAGTTTTAAACTTCTTACTCAATGATTTAATTTATCTTAATGACTTAAGCAAGTTATCTACTAAACTACAAACTTGGAGATAAAGATATAGGGAAGGACAGAGAGGAAAAAGAAGGGAAAAAGGCCACACAAATTTGTATCCAGATTTAGTATAAACTATTTGAAGTGTATGGGGTCCTTACGAATCAGAGATGACTTGATAGCACCAAACAAGAACACTTGAAGTGCTTTTCTGCTTGATATACTTTTTAAAGAATTTTCTTTAAAATTTTAATTAGTGCAACCTCAGTATTATGAGGTAAGGTGGGCAAATAATTTCTAATATAATCTAAGCATAAATTCCCTGCTTTTTAAACCAAGATTCTGATTTAACATCTAAAAATAAAAGTTGTAGTTCTATTATTTTGTATATGTTCATGGACTTACAAGTACCAGTCATATCTTTGACAAGTGGAGAACTAATCCTTGCAAAACTGTGTATAATCAAAATTAAAGTACTTTTTAATTCAAGATATATGAATAAGATGTAAATCATCTTATCATTGATCTGACTCTGTTCTGTTAACTTAGATAAGAAGAAAACTATCAAGGGCCCAAATCATGTAGACTGTTTCATAATTTCAAAATTAAATACAAAGATGTTACCTTAAAACCAATTCTTATTTAAACAGGTTATTTTTATCTGCTTTATTTTAAAGTTAACCTTAATTTGCTGTTGCTTTTGCATCCAACTTAGTATCTGACATTGCAATTCTTGTATCTTGTAGTTGGTTTCAGGATTTTTTTCCCTAACAAACTGTACAATCTCCAGCTGTCTCCAAATGTCATCCAAACAGGAGCCTAAAATGCTTTTGTAGACATCTTTTGCACTTGACAAATACCCTGTTAAAAATAAAGGTATAGAAAAAAAAATGCATGTCTTTTTGTCCTTTGAAAAACTCCATGGTAAAGCAGTAGAAAGAAATGAGTCAAAATAAAGAAAATTTAAAATTCCTTCAATCCTTTTCTGATTTCAATCAAATATATTGACAAAAACCTTAAAATTCAGTGAAACTCAAAAACATACAAATCCATGTTTTAAGCTACGTAACACCAATATGCTGGATATATTCTATGTTGTATTTGAATATATCCCAGTTTTCCTCCCTCTACAGATTACTGGGGAGCTCTGGTAGCATAGTGGCTAAGACACTTGCCTGCTAACCAGACGGCTGGCGGTTCAAACCCACCAGCCACTCCTCGGAAGGAAGGTTGGGCAA